TGAAGAAATGGTGTGGAATTTAATTCCTTCATGTTGAAAAAATGGCACCCACTAATGCTTGCTGAACATTTCTGGAGACCAAGCAGTGGATGCAAGCACACTGAGGTGATGGATGGTGTGTTTCAGCAGTGGCAAGACCAACAGTGGGTCATCTCCACTGATGCACATAGCTACGAGTCTGCATGAAGGCTCTTGCTCATTGCTGGTGAAAATGCACAGCTAATTATGGTGACTGTTGAAAAACAGTATTTTGTAGTTGAGAGTTTGCTCTCTTAGATAGTGTTATTTTATTCTTAGTATCTGTTGCAGTTTCTGTGGGAATAAAGAGGGTCATTACTTTTGAAGTGACTCATGTATTAATGCAGTCTTAAAACTGCAATGCTGTTTTACTGTTGCTGATTTAATAGCTCAGCGATGTTTACAGTATTTCTGTTCTGGTTTAATATCTGTAATATTGCAGCTAACACACTATGCCTAGTTCAGTAAAGCAAGCCTTGGATGTATTTTAAATAATCAAATTATTTCAAAAAATATTTTAAAACCATATTTTTGCTTAAAGGTGCAATCTTTGTAATATATCCATATGAATTTTGTGTTAAAAATGGCCAAACGTTAGGCTTCTAAATCCATCTTTAAAACAGCCAACATCACATTCCTTGAAGCAGTCTTTACTGTTTTGTATGCCAGTGACTTCATAACAAGCTGTCAGCTCAGAAAGTTGTTACATGGCAAATAAGTGAGCATAAGGGTGCTGGTCTGAATTTCTTTATTTCAGCGTGGGTCAGAAACTGCTGTGTAGTCATTATCGACCACCTTCTGTAATAGGACTGACCAAACTGCATGTTGCACTTGCAATCTGTGAACAACCTAAGATGAAAAATCTTGACAATCAATATGATGTTGGATCAGCAGTTATGCTAGCTCAGAAATTTTATGCTTATTTTCTCAGGGCTAGCATGTGTGTTATTGGTTATCTGCTAGTCCTATTTTGTTTTCCTATTATTCAAGTCTGTTGTTTTCTTAGGTGGTTTCTTCTTATTTTTAGAATCCCATAAGTTACTAGAAAATAAGGAGGAAAAAATGCTTTCCGTTGACACAGATTTTTGGAGTTCTCAATATAAAACCAAATTCCTACCAGTTATTTTAAGTAACTTGATTTTATTATTTTTTTTCAGTAGATTAGGAATATATTTATACTTTAAATTCTTGTAGATGATTTAGATATTAGGAATAAATTCTTAACCGTGAGGGTGGTGAGACACTGCAACAGGTTGCCCACTGAGGTTGTGGGTGCCCCCTCTCTGGAAGTGTTCCAGGCCAGGCTGAATGGGGCTGTGAGAAATCTGGTCTAGTGGGAGGTGTCCCACTGCCTATAGTAGGGGCTTGGAACTAGATGATCTTTAAGGTCCCTTCCATCCCAAATCATTCAGTGATTCAATCACTTATTACATGAGTGATTCTGCAGGTGTTAAAACTTAGTGGAAATTACTAAATTAAAGCCTGTCTCTGTAGTGCAAGTCTGATAATTCTGCACCCCTGAAAATTCTGTTTTGATAATGAAGCAGAAACAGGAACTCTTGTTTTGCTCTCTCTGGTCTCTGCCACAGTGGAGAATGCTGTTGGACATTATTGGAAAGGCATATTTACAATGTGTTCAGTCTAAATGAGGCAATATTCCCACACAGGTGCTGTCCCACAAAAGCATAAGACATGGCAGAAATGATCTGGTCGGAGAAAAACACAGACAGCTGAAATCCAGAGTGTGCATGCAGTACATGCTGTGTGGCCATACCTGTACCCTGCCAGATCTGTGCCTCTTGGGCAGCTCTGTGCATCCTCCAAACAGATGCAGGTTGCTGAAGCACTTCTGGGACAGAATAGCAGACTTGCGACCTTGGGGAACCTCTCACAGCTCTCTTCCCCTTGGCTGTGGGGGGAAATGTGCTCTGTTTGCAGGTCATGTTTTGTCTTGAGCAAATGAGTGGCCTTCCTTTGCTGTGAGAGTCCATGCAGTAAACATTTCTGACTGGTAAAACCCTGGTTGTTTTGTCTCAGTTTTTTTGTATAGTGAGCTTTAATCCTCTTGAAATGGTTTTAAGCTCAGACAGAAGAAAATACACTGACATTTACAGCCATGTTAGTTAAAATGCTTGGGGAATTAAGGCTTTTTCAGTTCCTACCCTCTTTATTCAGTTCCCAACTAGCACCAGCAACAAAGGTCTGTGCAAGGTCATGGCTATTCTTAAAGAAGACCTGATAGGGCTAATTTATTATGACCCTACAAATAGGTATCTGGGAACAATGTGAACATCCTTTCTTCACTCATTTTCCATATACGTGAGAGAGGAGACAGATGGAACAGTTGTGATGTAGAATTTGAGAGCATCTCAGTCAGCAAATAGAATTGGCCCCCGTGTATGAAATCCACCGCAGTGCTTTCTTCATTTCTTTTTTCCTTTCCTGTATCTTCAAAAGTAGTGTACTTACTAAATGACGTTCAGTTATAAACACTGTCAGACCAAGTCAAAGACTGAAATCCCATTTTCAGGAGGTTTTTCTCAAAATGTTGGTTTTTTTACAAGGTTCTGAGTACAAGAAGAGTGGCCAGTGGTGCATGTGAAGCAGGCTTTTAAACCAGTGACAGGAGAGGCAGGTGCATCCACTTAGAAAGAAAATATCCTGGAAAACGTTATTTAGAACAAATGGTGCCAAATATGTGTCTCATTGTTGCCCTTAGATTGTTAGTTTGCAGTGAGCCAAACTTACTGAAAATAATTATGTTTTATTTTATTAGAAGTAGAAGAATTCTTTCTCTGATAGAGGAGCTTGGAGAAATCAGATACTGAAGTTTTCCATCCTTTCAGCCCAAGTTAGGCTGTTCTGTCTCATCATTCTTTCTTTTCCTCCTCCACAGCTGTCAGCAATTGAGAAAAGCATGTTTTATTGTTATCTCCAAAGATATAATTGGATTGTGGAAATTAGATGAGGAACACTTGCAAGGTTTGGAGAAAGTTGGAGTAATCTATAAAGAATTATATTAGCCAGACAGTAAAATGTTGTAATGAACGTCTAGAAAAAAAAACAAGAGATAACGTAATTTCAATTCTTGATATCTAAATGACAAACCTTGTCTCGTATTATGTAGTAGTTTCCAGCAAATGCCTTGGGGTAGACACTTCAAACATTTTGTTGCTTCTGTCTATTAGATTTTTAGTATTTAAGTGTGAAATGGGTGTCAGACATGTTATGTGTTGTATTTCTGAGAGATACTCCAACATTAGCACTGTGGTTTGGATGATGAGTGCATCCTCTTCAAAAGAACCTCTTGGCCACCACTTCTTACTACAGGTTAGGTCCCTTTCTGGAGAGTTCTTGGACTCCACCCCTTTAGAAAACGGTGTTCTGTAGAGTGCAGCCAGTGTGATCCATCTGCATCTGGGCCCTTGCTCCTCAGAAAAGCCTATACTTGCATGAAGTAATCCCTCTTAAATGCCTAAATTGTGATACTGGACCCTCTTCACCAATTGTTTTACTTTGTTAGACTGCTAATGTAGATGCAGCAGAATTCTGCTTATAGTGATCTCTGAGTTAGCGTGTGCAAACAAAACATCCTGTGTGAGGGAGAAAAGGAAATAGTTGTTGATTAACAAAAGCTCGAGAGATTGCATGTAAATCCTTTGGAAGAGATCAAGTGTAGGAAGTAGCCATGTGAAAATAAGGATTTTGTTTGGCAGGGAAAGAAAAGGTCCTTCGTCAGAAGGGGAAGGTTCCACTCCCTCGCTCCCTGGAAACCTTGCACCCAAAGGGCATCTGCTAATGATGGTTGCAATTCCTAGACAGAGAGAGAGACATACAAGTTCACACAAGTGGTTTTATGAATCAGATAGAACAGAGTTTATCTTGCTTTTTGTGGATTTATTTTCTGCAGTAGTATTGAACTGCCTCCCTGGAAGGTGAGATGATAGGCACCAGCTCTGGTGTGTGGGAAGCAGTGTCTGTGTCAACAGGAGCAAAAACAGTGAGATGTTAGTAGTAAGGTCAGCTCTGACGTTTAGTGAAACCTCAGGTGCTTTTGATGTGCTTGTAATTCCAAAAGCTAGGAATGTAGAATGGGTTTGAGAGGTTGCTGTGCTGATGTGATAACTTTCTGGGAGCGGGCACTGTGCCTGTCTACATTCACACCAGGTCAGCCCTGCTGTAGATCTATGTATTGGAATGTCATCAGCAGTGAGAGAGCACTGTGCTAACACCAAGGGAAATACACTTATTCTCCCGAGGCTTTATTGAAAACCATGAATCCAAACATGAATATGGAGTGGCAAGAGGGTATCTCTCATCTTCTTGTTCTTTCTTGTTCTCTGACAGCCACTTTGGGTCTGGAGCACAAAGGGAATAAAATGTAAAGCATTCCATAAAGTATATTTCTGCTCTTTGTGCATTCAAGGTTTCTGACTATTAAATTGGTTTCCATTTTGCAAGGAGAAATCCACCATGAGGAAAGTGTTTTGCTTTATTGGAAGTTCTCATTTTTCTTCTGAAAAGTGGTTTGGATGGAAAAAATTTGGAACAGCCCTCAGAGAACCCAATTTAAAAATTATTTCCTTTTTTTGTCTTATCCAAATTGCTGTCTGTCAAGCCTATAAATGACTGTATGATCAGATCTAAATGCGGACCCTTATTGTTGGGTCTGCAGGATTAAGAGGAGTCAGGACAGGTGCAGAGAGTTGCATGGGGACTTCTGGATTATTACAGTAGTTCTTATTCCTTGCGAACAGAAATAACCCTTGTGGTCATTTTATATGAATGTGCAAATCATAGCTACCAGTACTTTGCATTGTTTGTATACACAAATGCACAACATGCAAATTGTTGGTAACCATGATTTAAAACTTTTGGGTAGATTTCTGTTTCATTGGATTTGTGACTGTAGTGAATGTGTGTGCATGTGTGTGCAAGAATATTAGGCGCATATAGAATATATTTTATTTATATTTCTATAGTTAAAACAGAACCAATGAGCAGCAGTGAGATTGCTACTACTACTACTACCACAGACGGGTCTTTAGACAATTTCTCAGGATCAGGTAAGGAACAAACAAAGGCTTAAGCTCAGCAATTTTTCATTCGCTATGTTCTTTCCCTATGCAATCTAAACCTTTGCATGGCTGCTGGAAAGTTTTTGTACACTGTGCAGCTGATTTCTGTTCATTTTATTCAGGCAGTATAAGGAAGTAGGAGCTTTCCTTAAGGAAGTAGCAATACAGCATCTCTTTTATTGATGTCCATTGGTGTCTTCACTAGGGAGCTGAGAAGCATTCTGGCCCAAAGGGATTACTTTTTTTAGTTTTCAGGGTGTAAATATACCTGCTTCTGTAATTTGTGATGTAACTGAGGGATGGGCAATTTTTAGTTTGTTTGTATTTATATTATCAAGGCATTCTTTTGTCAGTCTCTTAATCTTCCTCGAAGCCAAACCCTTCTTAGCTGCTACTACACAGGAGATAAAACACTGTGAGAAAATCCTAAAATGTTTGCACAATTTTGCGTACCTATGGATTAACCCTGATATTTCTAGCACATCATTTTTATAGTGCAAATCATATGAAAAAAGATCACAGAGTTACATTGGCAGAGTAGCAAAATCTACCAGCTCACCACCAGTTAGGATCTAAGTAGCCAGCCCTTTTTTTGATCTTGCAGCACCTTCCATTTTCCATGCATGCTGCAGTTTATAAAAATATCGACCTTTAAAGGAAAAAAAAAAAGTTTCTAGAATATATTAAATATCTGATGGAAGGGAAGGTAGCGCATCTAATGGTGGCTCATTCATCTGTGGAGATCTGGCTCCAGGTGGGACTGTAACCACAGAAAAGGATAATATCAGGTGTGGAAGGAACAGAAAGAGATTCGCTGCTTTGTTCCACACTTCACAAGGGCTCTGAGAGCGTAAAGATGATGGATTTTTCCTGTAGTTGGCCAGGAAAGGGGTAGCTGGCAAAGGGTAATTATCCATGCCTTGTTTATTTCCAAGTACTTAGCAATAGGGCCTGTTGTTTCTCTGGCTGTCTGATTTTACAGTAGTCTCATAACCTGCAGCTGACCTCTTCCTGGCAAAGGCTTCAAAATTGACTTTGGGCTGTGGAGAAGAAGTGGCACCCAAATGGTAACCAGAGAGGGAAGCACTATCTGCCTAGTGCTTCTGCAGAGAGCTCCAGGAGCAGAGCACATGGGTGCATCTGACATGCTCCCGACAGCACCCAAAACACCACAGGAGTTTCATGGGAATTGACAAAAATCTCTGCGTTAGCAGTGACCGGTCTGGGGGAACCCTGCAGGGCTGATCTGCGGGAGGAGAAACTCACTTAAGCTTAAGTGTTTTCCTAAGACAATTTGCACGTTGATCATGACGTCTTTGTGTAATAATGAGTGTTTTGAAGGTGTTGAGAGCATTTTAAAAAGCGGGCAACACGGGGTAAAAGAGAAGGAGGTGTAATATGGTAGTACATCCTTATGCGTTATTGAAATGATTTTTAAAAGGCACGTGCTCTGAAGCTGGCCATGTGTTTTCAATAGAGACGTGCATAAAGCTCCTTCATAAAATGTAGGTCTTAAAAATTCTAAAAGTTAATAAATGTTGTACTTGAGATAGCAGTAATCCTTTGAAAATATGAAGGAAAATGTTTCCAATAGGAAATAGATTGTTTGCATTGAAAATGCTGTCTGTGTGCAAGCAAAGAATAAACTATTGGTCAGGAGTTCTACAAAGGAGCATTTTAGTACTTGAAACTGTAATCAAGATTTTACTGTTACGCATTCCTGTGTAGTTGCTGATAAAATATTATTTTCTACCAAAGATATAGATGATATTTGAATTTAATTAAAATCTTGTTAATACTCTGAAATTCTATTAGGAAAAATAATATTTATCTTTGGTGTGTATATTTACACTTCTGTGTGCTTTCTTTTCTTCTTGGTGCAGCAATTGGAAGCAGTGGTTTCAGCCCAAGACAAACACACCAGTTCTCCCCACCACAGATTTACCCTTCCAAGTATGATATCTTTTAAAAATAATAATAGTAGTAGTAATAATAATAACTGAAAAAGGCAGATTTTAACCTCATTTAAAATAATAATTGGATCCATCTGTTAAGTCATAATTTAAACCACAGCAGCTTCTAGGAAAAAAATATATTTCTTTAATGCTAAGAATGTATTTGAAAAATATTTGAAAAGTTCTTATTTTACTTATTCTTTTATTACTGATTTATTATTGCTGTTTTCTCTCTATCTTAGAGTTTCTTTTGCCTAGCGCAGCCTATGATTAAGTGTTAATGAAGGTAGCAGGCTTATAATACGGCTAAAAATAAATACATGTACGTCAGTCTAATGCAGTCTGTCCTATTTTCTGTCATTTGTAATCAATAGCAGACCATACCCACATATTCTTCCCACCCCTTCTTCGCAAACGATGGCTGCATATGGGCAGACGCAGTTTACAACAGGGATGCAACAAGCTACAGCTTACGCCACCTACCCACAGCCCGGCCAGCCCTATGGAATCCCTTCATATGGTAAGAAACCACATTGCTGTGCTTTTATTCCCAAGGTGAACGTTTTTTTGAGCAAAATTACATGACTGGATCAGTGCTTAGTGGGACAGCCATGCTCTGAGCGCATCTCATGAAAGAGTGGTGATTTCCCTGTTGTGCAGCTTAATTTATGTATTTAGGAGCTAAGAAGTTACTCAAGAGTATGTCTATGTTTTGAGATCAAGGAGAGATTCATTAGGCTTTTAGTGGTGATACGAAAATACAGCACTGAAGCAGGGAGATCTAGGGACTTCCATTACACAGGCACAGCTCCCGGTAACTTGCTGAGGAGCTGTGCTCTCCAGCAATGTAATAGGGGAAGCTGGTAAATAAAGGTCTGGATTTTGGCTGATACATGTTACTGGAACCCAAATGAGTCAGTGATTTCTGTCAGGGGAAGAACTGATTCAAAAAGACCTCTACCAAAAATCTCCCTTTCGTTGTCGCTCTTGGAGGTGAAAATTGAGGTGATTTGCCACCAGACTTCTGTCTGCCTGATGAAGAAGATAGTACTAAGTAGCAAATATTTCCCCTAAAAAATTTAATTTAAAAACAAGCTGCTGCGGGTGAGACCATTTTGTTGCCAGAGTGTCTGCTGGCAGACCACATAGCAGTTCAGCAGCAAAGATGCATTATTAGAAAATAGGTCTTACATTCCTCTTGGGGAATATATTGAAAATATATGATCCATATGCTTTTAGCAGTACATTTTGTAAAAATACATTCAGGTAATACAGGTTTTATACCAAGAGGAAAGAACTTATAGCGCAAGCTGTGCCCCGTAGAAGTATTAAAATTTTTCAGTGGAAGGCTGGTGAATCCTGAAATCTGCAAGCTGAAATCCACCAGGTCTTAAGTAAATTCTGTGTAAGACTGCTGTGGACTGTGGGTGCAAGTAGAAGGTTATTTTCGCTTTTGGAAAAAAAAGTATTTCATTAATATATCATCAGTGATTGTGATCCAAGGAAGCATTTTTTCCTGTGGTTAGAATCTCGATTACTTAAATGCCAAAAACCAGTTTATAAACAGAAGTTGGATGTTTCAGTTTCAGCACCGTGTATTTTAAACTTATACTGACGATGTTAAACAAACAACAAAAGCAAACAACACTCCCCTCCCCCTCTCCACACGTTTTCAAGGCTAAAGAGGTAGGTAGTCTTCCTTCTGCAAAGAAGAAAAGCTTGTGTTCCTGTTGAGAGTTTATGTGTGTGATAACGGATGACCCCTTTCCCCACTGTGTTTTCCTTGACACGTTTCTCTTTTGCACACCTTGCGTTGTTATCCTTTGTTATCCTTTTTTATCCTTGGTGGCTTGGGCAGCCCAAACAGTGGCCTTTTAGGTTTTGGATCATTCCTCTGGATGAAATCCTGACCTCGTTGAAGTCAACTGTAAAACTCCCACTAACTTCAGCAGTACCATCATTTCACAACTTGAGTTGAGCTGTCTTACTGCCTTCGCAGCTGTAATTGAGAGTTGCTTTACTTGGCAGCTGCTCCCTGGGGGTTAACATGCCTGCCTGCTCTTCTGTTTTGTTTTGAGTTTTTATTGCACAGTCCATCCCCTGTGCCTAGGGCTTTGGATAATTTTATCTTAATGTTTTACATTGAAGATCTGCTTTTACCACTGAAACCTCCAGCTCCTGAGCCAAGTGAGCTTTGATGCTCTTTTCAGGCAGTGTCTTTTGACTGGGGTGAAGGTTTTTCTTGCTGATGTGCTTGATCAACTAGCAGAAATATTTAACTGTAGCAAAGTTTTGGGAGCTAAGACCACAGCTTTGCATATTCAAGGCACACTGTATAATCCTTGTTCCCAGAATAAATTACGTGAAGAACCCTGGGATGCTGATTTGCAGCAGGCAAGAACTCATCTGGGGCCAAAATTCTCCTCTTGGCTCTGCAGCATAGATCACGTATCCTGTGCTTTGCCTTTCTTTCTACCAGCTGAAGACTTTCCAGCAGGTATAAAGAGAGGAGACTTTTGACAGATGTGAAAAACTTTGGGTTGCAGTGGGGAGATTCTCTGCTTTCTTTCTTAGCACTGGGACTTACGGGGGGGAAAAAAGCATTCACAAATTCACATACCAGTGCCCTTCCCCCTCAGCTTTTCTCTTCAGAGCAGAATTTGGGAAGGTGCTGCCTTGAATACACCTCTACTCTGGGCATTTTTCCACTCCCACATCTCCACCATGGTGCAGCCCTGAAGGCAGGAAGGGGGGTGGAGGAATGCCAGCGACAGCTGCCTCCCGCCACTCCTGGCTCTGGTTCATCTGCAAAGCCACTGAGGAGGCTGGAGAATTTCCTGAGGCTCCCTCCTCCTACGTGCCCTGGTACCAGCGTTTAGCAAAGGTCTCACTTCCAGAAGTACCCTTTCGTTTTTCCATTGTCCCTTATGGGACTCAGACTAAGGAGAAGGGAGCACCACGGTTTGGTGAGTGAAGGCCCGGGTGACAGAAGATGAGAATAGAAGGTCTCAGAAGACGAAAGGCTCTTCATAGCATGGAGATTTGCAAAAGGGCACGCCAGTGCCAAGCTGTCTTCACTCAAGTGGCATGCTCCAGCCACTGCCTTTGATCACCTCCTCCTGCTTTGTCTGAGGTTGGGAGTTGAATCAGGCTGCTAAAGAGAGAAGTCTAGAAATATAATGCTTAATTAAACTTTCTCTGTGTAGTATTCAATCAGTGTTTCAGAAGTCCTGAAACACATAGATCGTTGATACCAAGGCATCTGTAGCAGGAGTTTCCTCTTGGAAACGAGGTGTCAGATTCATCATTGGGATTGTTTATTTGTAACGTGAAACAGAGGAAGCAAGCATCAGGGGAAAACAAGCAAACAGGGTTAGTCTGGCAGCTAATGAGTGTCGCAGAAGGAATTAAGGATAATTAATGGCACTAGCTGAAAAATGATTCAGTTGACACAGGGAAATATCTTTCCTTTTGTACATAGGGAGATACCAAAGTTTTATAAACGTCACAGCTTTTCAGTTCTTTCCCACCTTCAAACATTGTTGAGTATTACTCTTTATTTATTTATTTAAGTTTTGCATCAGGAAATGGGCTTAGATTAAGAGCCATTTTAAAAAGAATGTTACTAATTCTCACTTAGCTAATTCAGTTCAAATAACTGTGGCTTTTGAGCAATGAAGTATCACTGAATGCCATAGTGAAATGTAAGAGTATTGTATTACTTTTCCATTGCTTTGGCTATAATTATTTTTAAATGGTAGTTCATGTCAGGACAACCTTCTAATTAAAACTAAGAGACAGAAGCTGAATTGTGTGCGTTTCCTGAGTATTTCATTTGCTGATATTTACTTGCTTATTACCTTACAAATCTGTGCAAGAATCACTAAATTTGGGAGGCAAGTTATTCCTTTAATTGAATTTTGGATTCTTTTATTACTAAATTTGGTAATGAGGAGGTGATGTGTAATGGATTTCCCTGTCAGAGCAGATTAATGACTCTCTGTTGTGTTTTTCCCAGTTTGGGAGATTACTTCATGAATATTTCCTGTCTGTTAGGTGTTTATTTGTTAAAAGACTGAACTCATTCTATAGTGTTTAATTAGCTTTGAAAGTCCACATTGTACCGTATGCTGATAGCTCACTTTATCCACTGTTTAAAGGGTGCTTAATTCCTTAGAACGCACTTGAAGCCATATAGGAATATTCTCCAGTGCAAATCTCAGATATGTCATTAAAGGGGCGGATAGCGGGAGAGCTTGGCTATGCTATGGTTCATTAAAATCATATAAAGTTGCTAATCTGCCTCTGTGAAATGTCATGAATATATGGAAAAGCTAGCCTCTGGCAGGAAAGGAAAAAAGGAATAATGCAACTTCCTGTTCATGTATAAATTTCTTTTGCAGTTATTGGAAACACAGTTTTGAATTTAACCTCTCCCTGGTGAACTTCAGTTTTATGTGTTCTTTTAAACTGCCCCTACACTTTTCATTTGTGCATGCTCTCAGTACTCTTTCTCTCATGCATGCAACAGTGGGAATGTGTTAAAAATGCTATCAATTAAATGATTATATTATCCATCCCTGTTTGAATATGAACAAATAGATTTGCTGTCACTAACTGATTTAGGTGCATTGTGGGCAGGCATCAAGACAGAAGGTGGATTGTCACAGTCCCAATCACCTGGACAAACAGGATTTCTAAGCTACAGTGCCAGCTTTAGCACACCTCAACCTGGACAAGCTCCTTATAGCTACCAGATGCAAGGTCTGTATAAATAGATACTACCATTAATTAGATGCAGTTAATGCTGTAGTGTTTGGTTTTTTGTTCCTTGTTTCTTTACATTGTTGGGATAAAAATTAATGTTTGCTTGAGCACTGCCTCTGTTGTTTTTGCAGTTGGAGCTGGAATGATGATTGGCTTTGCTGGGAGCAGCAAGGGCCAGCTCTCAGCAGTTTGGAAGATCCTTCACTTAGTGACTTCATTAATTTTTAAATGGCAAAGTGTTGCAGTGTTACTACAGTAAAAATGTTATCTCTGAATAGCAATAGCTGAAGAAATAATGGATGTGACAAAGTGAGTGCTGGAAAACGTGTCAGGATTATGAATTTAGGAAGTGCCAAATATAATTTGATACCTGAGTGTGTTCAGGGAGGGAAAAGAAGATAAAAATACCTACAGCAGCTGTGGAGGTAGCTAAGTAATGATTGAAATCTGTTTCTTTGAAGTCTATTTAAAAGCTGTAAGTCTTTGTGCGTGTGGGCTATTATTATCGATTATATTTTGTAGCCTTACTTGCCCATTTAGTTCACTTGGTGTCTCTGCAATTTGTTCCTCCCATCTCACTTTTCCCTTACCGTACTGGGAAACCTCTTGGTGTGCCTGACTCTGGATCCACATTGAGAAATATTTTTTAAATCTTTTATTATTATTATTTACAAATAACTACTTTGGGGGTGTTTGCATTAGGGCTTTTCACTCCTGAATGTGACAGTTGAAATCAGTTACCGTTGCAGGTTTTGGCTTTGCTCTAATAGGTATTCTGCATATCCCTGACAGAACTGGACCCCATTTTTTAAGTTTAGCACCTATCTTCAGTATTGTGCACCTTTCAGACTGCGTGCCATCATGTAAACGCTCCCTGAAATGTACTTCAGGCAGAAGTGCATTCAGAGACCACGTGAATTAGGTTTTAGTTTTGCTTTTGTTCCCTGCCTTTGAGGTTATACTTTGCTCAGACAGAGGTTGTTGGATTTTTTGTTTGTTTTTCTTTTCTAAGTCCGTTTCTGAATTGTGATTGGGTAGCTCAGAAGCAACCTTCTTACATCTGAAATGTTTCTTACTCATAGTGCTCTCTGGCAAGGAAGAGGAAGATGGTGTAAGATTGGTGTGCTAACTTTCCTCTACACACCGATTAGGAGTGAACTTTTACTCCTATGAGTAGGTATATCCATAATCAGGTCACTGGTTTTGCTTCCTGCAGATAGCCTCACTATTTTAAACAAAACACCTCTCTGTAAGAGCTCAGAATGCTTGCCAGCAGCTATGAGGAACTGCTGCATAGACATTCCAGCTTTTAAGGAACTGATAATTCATGGCCACTAGGAAATACAGTTATTGAAAAATCATGTCTCTGTTACCTATAATATCTATTGCAGTTCTGACTTCCTGCCACAGTTATGTGTTGGATTCCTGTTGTGCTAACTTTATATAGAAAAATGAAAATAGAGTTCCCATATAAGTTGGAGGCTAAAGTAAAACACACAGGCTAGCAGGTCATAATGTAACAATAAAGCAGACACTGCTCAGGCAAAATAAATAGCCATCACCCCATATTGGTTATCTAACGACTCTGTAGGTTTATTTTGTAGGATACAGAGCAGAGGGATGTCAATATAAAGGGGTTTTAGGAAGAACAATGAAGTGGTTTTACAGATGTCTGTGGGAAGCTCATTTGATGGAGGAAGGGGGAAGCAGCGTGGGATAACGTGAAGGACTGATTGTTGGAAAATCTTAACAGTAAGCAGTGAATTCTGGCATTAGAGCAAAGCTAGATCTCAGTCAGTGATCTACGTGGAGATCTGTCGTAAAGGGTGTTGCTTTGCTTTATGCGATATGCAAAATGTGTATAAGAACAATATTGTCAAGGTCTCAAAAGTGTGGTACCTGTCAAGAGATAGAACATGAAGATCTTGGAAAGCATTTCAGCTATATATATTGAAAGGCCAGGATCTAAAAATATTTTGCAGCAGAAATGTATTAAAGATGACCTGATTGTGAAGCTCTAAAGGGAGGAGGGACAAAGGCATTGATTTCACGACAGTATTGTTTACAGAGCTGAGAGAGGAGATGGACTGAGTCTGGGTCCTTCTCCAGCCAGGCTGCGCTTGGGCTAAAGAGCTGCACATGCGTAGGAGGCAACAGATGGCTGGGAGCTTGGTCCGGGAAGAAGAGCCACAGGTTGGAGTGGGAGAGTCTGGGAGTTAATGAGCACATGTCAGTTCTGTCATGCTTATGAACAGCACAGCATATGGATAGGGAAAGAATAGTCCCTTGCAAAACCTTACAGAAACCTTCCATAAGAAGGAATATAAAGAGTAGGTTTGAAATGCATGTTGATAGAACTATTAGAAGCTCAAGACGAAAAAAAAATCTCACTGTTAACTAGATCTTTCTTGCTGTTAAATGTTGGCAGTATGTATCTGTACCATACATTTGAATGTATGCTTTTTAAATATTTTCATTAGGCTGACTTTTGTATTTTGAATCACTTTAAATTGATTTTATTCTTCCTTTTGATTGCCCAGATGTTAAAAGTAAGCAGGAACATTTGTTTCCCTTTCCTTATTTAGTTTTGGATGGAGAAATTATTCATAGTTTCAACTGTTATGTAAGGATAGAATTGATTCTCTTGACAGAATACTGGGGTATTGCTGCTGCTGTTTTGGTTGTTTATGCAGAAACCCCCAGAGAGGGAAATAAGTTTATTCTTGCTTTCCCCTCAAGCAGTCTATGGGCAGGCTGCAGCCCTCAGCCTTGTCATAGTCTGCCATAGCCGTTCTTCGTCTCCTGTGTGTGGCTGCTGAGCTGCTAAATGAAGATAATGGATCCCACAACCTCCTTCATAAACAAGTGTTACATGACAGTGCGCTTGGGGCCCTGCTGGCATCCTTGCCTGCGGTAAATGGGATTTCCTAGCAGCCTAGTAGTTGCTCTGTTTGTGTTCCCTGGTTGGGGTTACCTCGCGCTTGAAAGCTTTGGAGTTATTCTAGTTTGTCTCCCTGGGGCAAATGTCTCCCCAAAACATCATGGTGCTGCATCGCGGTGCGTGTGCAGCCAATTTAACCCAGTGCTTTTCCTGACCCTGCTAAAATTACAGCGTGATTAGTCACTGAACAATAGCATGAGGAGAGACTGCCAACTTACAGAAATGACGAAGAAAATCTCTCTGTGCAACTCCTCACTAAGGTTATTCTGGTAATTGGATTTTTGTTTGTTGGGAATTTGTCATCCCTGTAATGGGTATGAGAAGGGAGAGGGTGAGGAGAGCACCTACTCTGCTCTGCCTGCCTGTCTGTGCCCCTGCCGTTATGTTAATGAATTTGTTCCTGAAGCTGTTTTTCATACGAATTGCTTCATAGATGTTGAAAGACCACTTACACGATTAATGGCTGTGCGAATGGGCCACTCTTCCTGTATTGGCACTGTTTCGAGGGTTGCTCGGTGAAAATAAATGGAGCAGAAAGGAGCTGGGGGAAAGGCCAAGGAGAGAGCTTCACTTGCGGCTGTCTTATTGAGAATCCTCTTTGCTGTGATAATGATCCAGGGTTTATCATAAACTGAGGTAGCCTATTGCTGCAAGGTGAGGAACCTGTGATGAGCACCAGCATTGTTTTAGTTATGACAACTGTGGTCTCTCAGACTACACTAACCAATTGGTTTGGGAATTCATCCATAAAAAGTAAACGTTAAGGTATTTGGTTATTATTATGCAGTATAAAAATATTGTGCTGGATGGCTAAGCAGTTACTAGGACAACAAGGGGGAGTTTGCCAAAGATTTTTAAACACTGTAAGCAAACGGAAGAAACCTTGAGCTTAAATAGCCCATCTGGCCGTCCTCGGCTTTCCCAAGAGAGCTGTAGTAAACTTCTGCCACATATATTGTACTCTGATGATAGACGTAGCCCATGGCAAAGAGACCAAGCTAGGAAAGCAAATGGACCTTGTAGAAAACACCCAGGGGAGGTGTGCATCCTGCCTGCAGTGGCGGCAGCACGGTGCAATGCCTGCCCACAGCCATCGCACTCAGCCCAGCAGGGCCGGCAGCCTTCTGACGCTGCCTGGGCTTCCCAGCTTTCATGTGGGCCCTCGCCCTTGGCCAAATAGACCTTTGACCCACAGCTGACAGCTTTTATCACATTTTAAAGCTGCCTAGTTGGCCAGCTTACCTCAGTAAATCTTGCACATTTTGTGGAGGTTCTTATTTTTGCATTTTTCCAGCTAGTGCAGAGGTAGCAGCTCTATGCCGTGCTGCGGCTGGTTATTTAAAAGACAAAAAGTAAAATCAAGGTATTTTAGAAGCAACTTAAGGCTGGTAGTTCTGGGTGGCCCATGGAGCAGTTTCTGTGAAACCTGCTTCGTGTTTGTTACGGTCTAGGACACCCCCCCCCCCCCCTTTCCATAGGAGCCAGCACTGACCATAAGATGAAAGGGAGAGATCTGTGTGTTAGTATGTGTGTCTTTGTCTGAGGGCAGAGATGCTGACTGCCATGTAATTACTTTTCTCATTTGCTCTTGCAAATTATTTGCCGGATATTCTGCAGAAAGAGTACATATTCATCCCCAAAAGTTTTTTTTTCTGTGTTTTTTCTTTCTTTTTTTTTTTTTTTTCCTTACAATCCTAGAGAGCTTTTATGTCTTTTAAGAGTGGTTCAAACTACACACCTATAAAACTGGTGTTTGAGTGTATTACTGCATCACTCAGAAGTAACTGTAGAATAAAAGAGACACAGTAACTTACATTCTTCCAGCCAAAACACTCTTAGAAATAAAATAGCATTTCAAAGTTCTGCAATTTAAAATATTTTTCAGCTGTATTTTGGCTCTGGGGTTTGTTATAATAAAAAATAACATCTGTTTTCCAATTTTAAATTAAATTTAAAACAACATGTTTTTCTCATTAGTACTGTTTATCTGTGCTATCTGCTAAACTTGGATGTCAACTCTTCTGCTGAAGTAATCTGATTTTAGTTCACAGGATTGGTAGCATCTATCAACAACTTTAGAGCTTTAGCGCTCACAGCAAATACAACAGAAAATGTTTACAGTCATTACCTCACATTGGATTTACGCTTCATTTTTTTACTCCCACTGCTGTTGCATTTCCAAGACTTAAACTGTGTACTACTTTACTACCTTTTGCAGCAGAAGCATTTAAATATTTTTTCCTTCTGGCTTGTTATAGCGAGGATACCTGTCTGTGTCTCTAGGGGTTGTGCTAAGCATGCAGCCCTGCCTGCATTTCTTACTGTTTGGATTTGCAGGAATTGTTGCTTTTTCTAATGGTTTGTGTAAGATGCGGTTTTTGAATCGTGTTGGATACAGCAGTGCATCTGTACACCTTGGATCCCTGTTGGTTTTCATCCCTTCTAGCCTCCTTTACATCATTTCCTTCCAAAATCTCAGTATGCCTCCTCTCTAAGACAGGTTTCAGTGGTGAGGGAGGCTGCAAATAGCTTGTGACTTTGATGCAAGTTCCTTGCACACTGATGCTCTCCTGCTGTATGAGTTCAATAGGTTGCCTCATTATGGACTTTCTGGTGGCTTATGGAGCTTCTCCGTGCATCCATATGTCCCAGCTGGTGGCTATGTCACTGCTGGGTTATATCCAGCAAGAGCAAAACAGCTGAAAGGGGGTTGCTGCCCTTTTAGTGGAACAGCTTCTCAGGTTAGGTATTAAACAAGAGACCCATCTGTCTATTTTTGGTGGCTCACAAGGGGGATCTGAGGGGAGGAGGGAGGTGAAGGCAATAATTCAGTCTCTGGGCTAAATTCAATCTTCAGTCACTCCTCTAAGAGAGGTACTTTTTTCCCTTGTGTCATGCCAGATAGGCTCTATCAAAAAAGTAGATTTGCGGCCCAAGGCTGTCTATCATCGATTAGTGAATTCTAATGGCTTCACAGGCAGGCTGAGCTGTTTCAAGCAGGGTGTTGGGGCTTTTTTTTTTTATTCCTTCAAGGCACTGAGGTTTAGGGATAAGAGAAGATGCCATACTCAAGACAGCAAAAGAAACTGAGCCCTAGGGATTCACTGGGGGCTTGCAGTTACTGTTTGACAAAAGTGATATGGAATAAACTCTGATTACTTTCACAAGTTATCAATCTGAGGTGGCTCTGGCTTCCTGTCAAAATTTAGTTTCCATCAAAGCAGGGTTTTCTTAATTTCAGTAATGAAACATAGGGCATAAGAACAATGAGTTATTACTTTCTGTCTATTAACATGTTACGGAGCTGATGACAACCAAATCGGTCAGCATATGGGAAGTATTAAAATATGCCATAGCCTTATGATATAATCGCAAGATGGAAGTTATTTTCCAATACTGTGTTTTAGTAATTCACATGATTTTTCATTTTATTTCAGGCAGCAGTTTCACAACATCATCAGGAATATATGCAGGAAATAATTCACTCACAAATTCTACTGGATTTAATAGTTCACAGCAGGTAATTTTGTAAATATGAATTGAGGAAACATCAACAAACTTAAAATTCTCATCCACTGAAAAATAACTGAAAAACAGCTCTTAAATATGCCTTTGAAAGAAATTACTATTCTTTCAAGTTATATTAATTTTTATGAATGTTTTTCCTCAAATTGTCATCCTCCAGTAATAGAACTAATGGTCTGGGTTTAGATTATTTATATTCACACATCTTCAGTAGTGTATATAATAAAATATTTGTATGAGAAGACAAATTAAATTATGTGTAATGTAGATTTTGTTTTACTGCCTCACCATCAGGTCCTATAGCATCCAGTCCAGGAAGTATACGTGCTGAAAGCCTGACATGTGTTTACAGTTATATTTTGGAATTTATACTAAAAAGTAGCAAAACTTTGATAAACTTTTGATTCAGTTGCTTTTTTTTGTCTTTCAGGAGTATCCCTCTTATCCCAGCTTTGGCCAAGGCCAATATGCACAGTATTATAATAGCTCACCATATCCCTCACATTACATGACAAACAGCAACACCAGCCCAACGACACCCTCCACAAACGCAACATACCAGCTTCAAGAACCACCATCTGGCATCACCAGTCAAGCAGTTACAGATCCTGCAGCAGGTAATTACATGGATTTTATGGTCCCTATGAGGCACGTTTCTGTAAGTTGAAAGGGGGGTTGAATTGGATTCTTTTTCTGTGTAGTCGCTGTCTTTTGTTATTATTTCTTAATCCTGAGCCTGTGGCACGTCTTGCACAGAGTCTGACAAAACAGAAGCAAAACAGAAATGGAGATCAGTAAAAGTTTAAGGCTTGTACAAAATACAGGCTTCTATATTATTTATAAAATGCTTGTGTGAAAAATTGCAGGATGTAAGAAAGTCTTTATGCTAAAGCAGAACCTGCTGCTTTTAAGCTTTGTCTTTGTTAAGATAAACTCTGATTTTTCCTAAGACTGAAATTGAGAGGCCTTCGGATTGTAGCCTGAGTGTCCACTTGAAAGAGAGCTTTTGAATTTTTCACTTTCAGAGGACATAATAATGCTTGTATTAGGTAGTTGAAATTGCACAAGTGTTTCCATTTTAAGGAAAGATTTTCAGTGGCTTGTCCTTTTTCCCAGTCGTTTTACCTTTCTTTTGGAATTTGGCAGTCTTTTACTAGTTGAGGTATTTCTTATGCCAAACTGCTCCAGCTGTTTTTGGAAATGAGGGGTGAAAAATACTTTTCCCATTACTAAAAAAAATACATTTTTCAACAGTTTGAGCATGTCAGTACTTAGTGGATGGCAGAAGTTTGAAATGTGTCAGAGAGGAAGTCCAAGTTTGCAGATGTGTTTCTCAGCCATGTGGTAAAAAGCAGCTCTGATTTGGAATGCTATTTTGAGGTTTTGTTTTGAAGTTTTGGTGGGGAAGATTGTTTTCTTGAAGTACTTTGCAGGACCAATCTTGCACGTGCAGCATGACCACTGATATAATTTGCTAGCATTCTGCTGTTTTTCTGTAAATCTCACTGAAGGAAAGGTATGAGTTGTTGTGCCTTTTCACACATTCACTGAAAATAGGTAGAGGAGAAAATACATTTTATGTGTGGGTTTATGTTCATGTATATATTCACGATGTGTGTACATCGATGTATTTGAGAAACAAATCTTTTTAAATGTATGAATGTGTATTGTAGTCTGCAATTTTCAAATGTGTGGATGCATATTGGAGTCTGCCTAATTATTTTGCTTTTCACATTGTTTTTAATTTTTTGGATTTTTTTTTTTTTTTGTGGTTTTATTTGTTTTTCTTTTGAAGTTGGTAGCAGTAAGTTTCTCTTATCCCCAAAGCCAAATGTGATTAAGCTATAGCTTTCATGAATATGTTTATGTTGAATCATTGCATCATTTGGATGCACACTTAACTCAGATACTGATGGCAGTGTCATTCTTTTCCGTTTACTATAGGGATACTACAATAATTCCCAAAAAATTTCTTTCAAGCGGTTTGCAAATAACAAGTCTTGAAGTAACCATGGGTTTTCTTGGATTGAATGCCTGTATTTAGGGACACATTTAGGAAGGCACCTGCTGTGGACTACTCTCTGTTAGCAGGAGCAGGGCAGGAATGAAGCCATGTTCCCCTTCACCACATGGTCGCAGTTGGCATAAGGTATAGGGCTGGACTCAAACTTCTCCATCTGTTTGTATGCACTTTAACTGAGGCATTTAAGTTAGTCAGTGGAGAGAAATTAGCAGCTCCAGAGCTATATTTAGCATTCAGTTTAACTGTAATCATCATCCAGAGGTACCAAAGTCTCTCCATTGGTGTGAAAGAAGTTTAAGTTGGCTGACTACCAGTGTTCACTTCCTATATTAAAATCAGGTGGGATCATTTCACTGCTTCACAAACCTCCAACCCTGGAAGAAGCAAGGACCACTCAGTCAATCCAGTTCTGTGTCTGGCATTTTTCCTTGGACAGTACAAATTTTTGTGTTCTTCAGCCTCAGGTGAACTCATACACAGCCGGTTTGGGATAAAGCAAGAATGGGGTCAAAGTAAAGAGAGAGCAGCATGGAGGAGGGGAATTATGGTTGAGTGGGGATAAGTGAAAAGCATGTTAGAAGGAAATTCACAGTTGGATCCATATCACACACACACACACAAAAAAAAAAAAAAAAAAAAAAAGCAAAGCAAACAAACTGAATTTTAACAGTGGGAAAAAGCATCACAAATTACTGTAGAATATTTTACCTCATCTGCTCAAGATAGACTGCTGAGTCTCTGCCATGATTGGCATGCTGTATGTGCGTTAGGGAGCAAAGGGGAGTCATTGTGTTATGTTGCTATTCCCCTTTATTAGGATGGGCAGCAGCTGCTGAATTCAGCTGTTCTTTGTGGACGCTGATATCCCTAGACATCTTGTGCATTAAAAAAATACATATATAATCTTTGCGGTTCTGAACTATGCCAGGACAAGCATGGAACAGCATTCAGACTTCACAGAGGCACCAGAATCATTTGACAGACATATACGATTCCTATGAATTTGGGCCAGTAAGTGAAACAGGGCAGTTTGGTAAGAAACGTGAAAATAGAGAAAGTAATTATGTGTTCTTGTGACATTTTTAGGAGAGTTTTGCAGACTCAGAAAGCTCAGATAATTTCACTTAAAATATATTTAATTCCTTGTCCAAACATAAAATAATCCTTTTATGGTTTCCCACAATCTTCAGTTAAATATGCAGGTTTTTCACATTCAGTCAAGGACATTGAGGGGTGCTTGCAAAAGAGCCTGAGATTCCTCATACTCAGTATTACTTCTTTCCACAAAGGGAAGCCTTTATGGATCCGAAAAATTTCTTCTGTGTTAATTGTAAAACCTTTTAATTGCACAAACCCTGATATTCCCTGTCTCCATGAATCAAACATACTAATTCATGTTATGATAAAATTAATAAAAGACGTGTGAGCAATTACTCAGTGTTCCTTCCAAGACTCACATTCATTAAAGTATGAATGAGCAAACAAAAGAAAGTATTTCTTCGTGTTGTATAAGCTGGGCAGCACTGTCGACTTCAAACAAGCTCATAGATCAGACTTATACAGACACAAGCTTGGTTTCAAGAAATGCTTTGTAAAATAATAATAATAATAATAATAATAAAATTCTGGAGACAGTGCATGAGTGCATTTCTGACCACCTTCTGTTTTATCACCTGCTATTTATACTGGTCTAGAAGACATTTTGCCTCAATCCTTGATGCCCAACCCAGTGCTCTCAAATAAGCAGAACAACAAGAACGTTCATTTCTAGGAATTGACGTAGTTAACAACTACTTTTTCTAAAGCTTTCTTATTTTCTTTTGCAGTATTTTAGCTTCATTATTGTTTCTGGTAACAGAAATTTCTTGATTTGTGCAAGTTTTGGTAATACAGTCCTTTATTTCGCAAAAAGCTGTATTTGTAATGTATTAAATAATATTTCTCTGAGTTGCACAGTTTTTAAGATTTGATCTCTTTCAGTTTTGTTTTTTTTTTCTTTCTGCAGTAAGTCTGTTTAAAATATTACTGGAAGATTTCTTTTTTTTTCAAATTACTCATGTACTTTACAATGCAGATTAAAAAAACCACAAGTTCTATGCTAGCCAACGAAAATTGTTCTCAGTCAGTCGTGGGTCACCATTTTGCTCTTTAAAGCTAGACTGCTTTTTCCTCGAACACTGTATCACATTTAGTATTGCAAAAGAGAAAGCCACTTTTAGAGTTTCCCCTTACTAAGTTTCATAACAATAAATTAAAGATTGTAAAACAACACAGAGCTAAGATACTTTATAGGCAACTTTTCACTAATACGTATGCAGAAACATCCAGCATTGTGCTAACAGTACATTACTGGTGTTTTAACATTTGCTCTTTTTCATAAATAAAAGAGAAGAGTAAATCTAGAGTCTATATAGGAAGGAAGCAATGAAAGTTCTGTAAAAACAGAATACATTAATGAATAGTGAAGTGCAACACTGCTTTTGCTTTTCTGATGTTGGTTATTCTCCCGTGTCTTGCGTTGAGAGTGTTCAATTTTTAATTCCCACATTGCATTCAGCAGTGACTCACCATCATATCATGTGATGATATGTTATGATGCCATCACGTGATATGTTAAGGCTAAGAACTGATGTACCTTGCAATATATATTTTAATAAATAAATAGGATTCTTTTAGTAGAATTAAAAGTAATACTTCAAGTTGTTTGAAACCATAAATAATGAGTGAGGAAGAAATGCCTATACTGGAAAGAGGTCCTGCCTGCCCATTATTATACATACTGTGTAATGTTGTATATACTGTATACTGTTATTAAGATATTTTTTGTCATTATTATTAATAACGAAAAGATCAGTCAAACCTCAAAATAAATAGGCCTTTTTGCCTATACTTCTAACAGCTTTTTTTTTTTTCCAAAGATTATTTTGGTCTTCTGTCAAGTTTAAAATTATATGCTAATAGTCCTCAATAGACAGATTTCAGATTTATTTTCCAGGTAGATAAGATAATGGCTTTTGTTCAGAACGGCACTAAAGATTCCTCCTATAATCCTGTCAGCAGGCATTATGGTATGTCTTGCAATATATAATATTAAGTTTATTAAATTAAAGTAATATTAAGTACTTTTACTTACCACTCATGTAGTAGTCATATTTTTATATACAGAAGAAAATCCCTCAATACCTTTGTGATTCCACTGCATTGTTTAATCCTGGTCAAATTTTATGTTCAGAGCTGCAAAGGAAGAAGTTTTGTAGTGCTTATAGATCTTGTGTTTAGCTTTATTTTTGCAAAAGTATAAATATATTCCAATTTTGTTTCTTTGCAGAAGCTGAAGTAATGCTGGACTGAGTACTTAAGATTTTAATTCAAAATTAATTGTGAAATTTGGAGGAAATCTAGGCACAGTTAAAACAGAAAATACTTGCATGTACTTGCTTCAAGAGACATTTGATTATTCTAGCAATTCTAAGCCCATCTCATCAATGTAATTTGCATTGTGACATAAGATAGAATTACTTTGATTACGTGAATTTGCTCATTTTTGCATACTCTTTAGTAGGGAAACTGTCTGATGAAATTTGCAATGCCTTTGTCAACAAGTCTACCTACACAAATCTCCAGTGACATTTACCTATATATATATGTATATATAGTTCTGGTTTTTTTTCTTTTTTCTACTTCTGGACAGATAGTTCTCCTTATATTTATCACTTGATATTACTCCTATATAGTGAAATTGATAGTAAGAAAATACAGCAATTACCTGGGGGGGGAGGGGTGGAATTTCTATAACAAACAAGAGGCGCAAAATACAGTGTTGTAAATATCATCTGTGTGGGTCTATTGTCTATTCATAAGTAATATTCCAATTGATGAGGTGATGGAAAATTTTCCTGTGTGACACGTAACCGTCAAAGCTACACGCACTGATGTATATAACACAAGTAAATGTTTATGACATTTCATGTCACGTTGTAATTAAATGTTGCCTCTTGGCCCAGGGGAAGGTCTGCTATATTATGGTTCGTGTATTTTAGGTAGAACAGAATGAAAGCATGTTTTTCACAGTTTTGCATGGTTTTTGTATGGATTAAGATTTGTAGAATCTGGATTTTAAATGTTTCTCTTACTGACTAGAGAAGTCTGTTTTGAAGTGGAACATTTTGTCTCAGCAGAGCAGTCCTGGAGCCCCACCTGCCAAAAGTAACCTGGAAGGTGTCCTCCATCATCTAATTCATTCAACTTCTAACAAGGGTGCTTAGGACACCAGACCAGGCTGGACCTTGCCTGGAATGACGTCTCAGAAACAGGCTGTGAGGCCTCGGGGTTGTTGCCACCATTTGTTTGGTTCACAAATTCAATCGTTCTACGTGCTAATGTGGACATGGCCATTACAGCCCTCAGCGTTTCTCTTCCAAAGACTTATCCAGGTTCCTCTTGAACCCTTGTAATCTTTTGGGAGCCAAGCCATTTTTGGGGAAATGGTGTCACAGGTCTCCTTCTTGTGATATGACCTCCCCTTTCTTTTGTTTAACCTGGTTTCTGCCAGCTTGCTTTGGTGATCGTGTACTCTGAGTACTGGGACAGGCAAGGAAGAGCTGATCTTTTCTCCTTTTTCCTCTCATGGTACTGTAGAAGGCTGGATTTCCTCCAGCACCTCCCTGTGTTTGTGGTGCTCAAGAACAGGATAAAATTAAATTCAGTGCTTTACAAACATAGTAATTTCCCTTGGCTAATACTACAGTATGCTACTATGAATTCAACTAAGGCTGAACAAATTAAACACTCATATCCGGGAACATAGAATAATGGACATAACAGTGACATGTATTGTAGTTATACAGCTTGGCTTCAGCCAGGCTTTTACTACCTGAGCAATTACGCCTTTTTATTTAATAACCTTGTAAGCAAACTGGAATAAAAAAATCTAGCCAAAATTACAACAGAATGATATAAAGCTGTTTAGGAAACCATGTCAGGAGAGAAGCCAGTAAGAGTTTGCTGTTAAAATAGAAGGATGGCTACAGCAGCATTCCTCAGTGTCTGTCTTGGGCCCAGGACCAGACCGCATTTTCATTAATCATTTAAATGACGGAACAGAATGTGTTTGCCTATTAAATATGTAGAAGACACCATGCTGAGAGGGGCTGTGAGTTCTCTGGAGACAGGGTGAGAACTCAAAAAATGGAGATGTGATCTCAATAGGAGCAGGTGTGAGGTATACATTTAGGCAGGAATGATGAACTGCACAAATGTGGGATGGGGAATGTTGGCAGCTCCTTCCAGGCTCTACCTTTGCCTGCAGACCACTCAGTACTCCACATACTAGTGGTACACAGAGTACCCTCAGCCACTGTTGTTTTTCTTGCTTTAGAATTTGTCGGGACTTAGGCTCTTAGGGCTCAGAGTTCAGTTGGGTGCTGGATTCTTTAATTGACTTTCCTTATGGGAACCTGAGAGTGACTGTTGGCCAGTGAGCTGGTAACCCAGTCATGCACGTGGGTCGAGCAGCCTTAATCCAGAGAATACATGCTGTGGTTTCCCTTTACATACATGGACAAGTTTCTTTCACACACTGTCACGTTTTCACCCATTGGTTGCTGCCATCTGTCGTGCTGCTATAGCAGAATGGTCTCTGTGGCTATCCCCTAAGTAGGAGCAGGAGCTCTGGTTATTAGTAGTAAAGCAGAGTGTTAATGACATACTAGCAGTTTATGTGCAGTGTTAGGCTAGATCTTTGAGCAACATCAGTTAGCTGCCACTTCTTCCACCAGAGATGATCTGGGGATGATGAAGTTAGCATTAAGTGAAAATATTACTGCAAATGTAAATTTTCCCCTGCTGAGTGGTGTCCATGGAAAGGTAGCATGCAAGGGGAAGCTTTTCTACTTTGCTTTGGATTACTGCATCCGGACCAGAGAAACGATAGGACCTTGAATAGAGGATCTGATTATTTTTCTCTAAGATAAACATTAGAACTGAGAGGAAGTGAGAACAGATTTCAAACGCACAAATTCAGTGAAGGGAATGGTGTTTTTTTCTCCCTTTTCACAGATTGAACTTAAAATGCTGTAAAGGAATGCTGAATTTTTGTCTTGTTTTTAACGATACAGCTATCAAAGCAGCAGAGTAGATTGCCTGGAGAGAGCTGTAAGAGCAAGAGAGGCACTTCTCTGCTTACACCAGCGCAGGTACAGTAGGTTCAAGAAGGGCAGGCCACTGAGTGCTCAGCCAACCTTGGGATCCCCAGGTTGAGCTGTCTGGTGAGGATCTGCCCCATTCAGGATTTACTCTGAATGCGAATCTTCACTCATAGCTGCAGTTGAATGTTTGAAACTTAGAATATAGTGTATTTAAATAAAGGCGTTTGTGAAAGTAGAAAGCTGTAAGGCTCTTTCTATCCTGACGGGCTTTCTTCCCTGCCCTCACTACACTGTGCTCTGTGCACTCTGTTAAGTTTATTTGTTTTTGTTTGTTATGAAGCTTAGTGTATAATTTTTCCCTGCTCTCCATTCTTTTTTATTTATTTAGTGTTATCAATACCATCCTAAGTTTAATAACTATTAATTTTTGGCACCTCATGCCTGTGGAAATTCAAAAACTGTGATCTAAAGCTACATCAAAAACACTGTCAGAGGCCCAGAGCATCCCTAATTCCAGTTAATCAATAGGAAGTGCAATTTTCTGTTAATCTGAATTTCAGAGCAGATATTTAGAGCTTTATAGGCCAGTCTATCTGCTGAATGAATTCTGGTCTGTTTGCTATCAAAAACCTTAAGAAAAAATACAAATGAATGAAAACAATGCACAAAAGCTTTTAAGTGAGTTATAACCATGTAAAATAATCTCTAGGAGATGACTCATTTATATTTAAAATATTGGAATTAGTTTAATTATTTTTATTTCTTATTTATATTTTAGGACAGTAAGTGAAAGAGCAATCAGTATTTGATGTATTAATCTAAATAATTGTGAAGAGCACATTATCATGGAAGAAATAAATTACTGGAGTGTGCATCATATTCCAAGATTCGTTTTCTACCTTTCGTTACCTGGTCTGATATGGCTATGTTGACTTTTCGTAGTTTGGCATGCACAGAATCACTGGTTTTGGTATAGATTGTCTCTTTTAAAGACTCTTTGTTTTATGTTACGTACTAGCTTGTTATTCTGCTTTGTTTAGAGTATAGTACAAAATACATAATATATATGAATTTTAGTTATGTGTAGATTTAAAGGCTGAATGTGAAGACTTCAAGACCTTATTCTTTAAACTGAGTACAAGCAACAATTATTTTGAGTAATTGTGAGTATGTGCTGCAACACAGATGTCCAGAGTTTCTTCCTTAATCTAACCTTTAACCTCAACAGGATGTTTTTTTAGGAAAAAGGATCATTTGTGTAAGAATTATTCCTGTCTGTTCAAATTGGAATGCTATGACCTAGGCTGATTAAAAAGTAAATTAATATTGATAAAAATATACAGATCTCCTGAACTCTGTGAAGAGTCAATGCTAACTGAGAACTAAAGTTGATAAATACATCGTATATTGAAAATTCTGTCTGGCTTTAAAGAAAATATTTTATTTTTTGGAAAAAAATAAGATAAAAATAAAATATTTTCTGTGTGATCTTAAGGCTGCAAAAAGAAGTCTTGAAAGAGATGTAAAAACTTCTGAAGGGCATGGCACTTCTACTTATATGAATTAGGAAGGATAATTTAAGTAGGGTATTTGCTCACTGAATGTTCAAGCACTGCACTGTTAATGGATGTTAGAGATAGCAAAACATCTTCCAACCAGCATATTTTCTTCTTAAATAAGTAAATCATCTTTCTTTGTTTTTTCCTACTAAATGGCAGTGAATATTTTGCTGATACGTAGTATTTGGTGTACAGTACTGTTCTTGAAGATACTCATTGAGTAGACCTTCGAAAAATACTTCAAATTTCATCTCCACATTTGATGCATATTTGAAAGTTGTTCAACTATAGAACTTATTGTACGCAGATAATAAAATTGTGTGCTACCTTTAGAAGGCATTGTATTAATCAGGCACAAATGTAGTCATCAAAAAATAAAATGTCTAAAATGTCTGCTGGTCACCATGATAATTATCTTAAAACATGGTTGAAAACTCAGGAGTAAATCAATCAAAAGTTTCCTTTTACAGTATGATCTTTTCTTTGAAGTCATGTGATCTTCTCTATCATTTGAAGAAATGAAGATCGTTTTATTTTTTTTTGTTGTTTATTTACTGAACTAAATTATTATATCTCTGTTATTTATGTAACCTGTACTTGATTCAATTAATTTATGCATTAGCATTACCACTTATTATTGCAGTTTTCATTATTTTTGTTAGAACTCTTTAGAAAAGATCCTGTTTTCAGTGTCATATCTAGGAAGAAATTTGAATGTTTTGGATTTAAGCTGAAAGGTAAAAATGTTATTTCTTTACTACAGCAGAATACAGTACAATTCACAGTCCATCAACACCCATAAAAGATTCAGATTCAGATAGATTGCGTCGTAGTTCGGATGGGAAATCACGTGGACGTGGCAGAAGAAACAACAATCCTTCACCACCACCTGATTCTGACCTAGAGGTATATTGTCCTAGATGTTTTTGATTTGTCATAGCTTCTCTTTTTATAATTATTTTGCAGAGAGATGCGTAATTTACAAACCAAAAATAAAATGGCATTTGAGCCCTTTTTTTTCTTTTGTTTTTGCGTTTGTTCTTCTTTTTTGTTGAAGATCTTCTTGAAACTTTTATTCTAAAGAACTTTCTTTGTGAAGAGCATCTAATTTCTCAGAAAAATAAAAGCATTCTCTTTCTCCTTTAAAAAAAATAATTAAAAAAAAAAAAAAAAAAAAAAGAGGGAAAAGAAAAAGAGAACAATAAGTAAAAAGCTTTTCCCAAATTGAAGTAAGGTTTCTCTTTGGGCAGGAGCCACTTCTGGCACAATAGAAGTTTTTATTCTCTCTTGCTATGTTCACATTTTTCTCAGTGGCCTATGCTATATGTTGAGAGCACATCTCCAGTGACTCGTCACAGCTATGGGTGTCCATGCTGCATTTCTTTTCCTTTCTGAAAGCTTAGCCCATTAGTTATCATGGGAAATACAATCCTATCAGGATTTAAAATACTTATATTTGAACATGTATTTTTCATTAACATCATTTTATTAATGGTCAGAGGGCAAATTTAAAAGACATTTTTTCTACCATCTGTAAGCAGAATTTACTGACACCATACTTTCTTACACAGGCAGAATCTAAAGTGACTATTTTAATTCTTCAGATACATAAATTCTATTAACATAGGCTGAGAGAATTTAACTGCTTGTCAACAATTCACTAGTTTTATTTGGTTTTAGACATTATTGGCAAGAGCAAATGTATGAAGACTTGCAGAAATATAGAGTTCAAATGCAGAATATTTAATTCTGAGAGGCTTCTCTTAATTTCTTTCAGGTTCTATCTTACATCTGGCTTTAAAATAACGTATTGTTCTATCTCATTTTTCTGTGTATTGGACTATGACTATCATTTCATTCTAATAGAATAATTTGATATAATAGCAATTGTAGTAAAAAGCTAACAGATTGTATTACCCTCTTCTGGAAAAACGTTACTTCTGAAAAGAAATTGCAAGGAAGCTATGGTTCTAATATATAACCATTTCAATACAATTTTGTCATTTGTGCGCTTACTGATTCAAATTTAAACTTTCCATTGCAAGTATCGGCTTCACAGAGGAACACATTGATTTGATTCTCTTTTTACAGAGAGTATTCATTTGGGATTTGGATGAGACAATCATCATTTTCCATTCCTTGCTTACAGGGTCCTATGCTAACAGATATGGAAGGGTAAGTGTCAAGAAACTGATGGAAATTTTCATTAATATTTATTATTTTATGGTTGATATGTAAGAAAAACAAGGAAATTGTTTTCCAGAGACCAAGCACTGCTGATGTTTCAAGACATAAAAATTCAAGGAGTAAAGCTCTTTCCATATGTCCGTTCTTTGCGTTTGTGTCATTAAATAATTAAACACCACTGGGAGTAATACTTCGAACACTTGAGGCTTTTTTGTTGATATAGAGTGTGCGATACCTGTTGATACCATCAAAATCTGCAAATATTTAGCTCCTCTCAACTAGTGAAGAACTTCCAGGACTGAGCACTAAAATAACGTTTTAGTCCCAAGCAGTCAGCAGTGGTCTGTACTCTGTACTGAGAAGGCAAGAGTACGTTTCTGGATATATATATGGCTGTAATAATGTAAACTTTTTTACCTCACATTTTTTTAATCTCTGTTTTGATTGATGTTTTTGAAAGTCTGGTTACGAGTCAAATCTTTCAATTATGCACAGTCTATAAATCGTGACTGAACTTACGGTTATGCCTGCAGACTGTGGTTCCCCTAGGTAATTCTCAAAAGAGAAATGCTGTCTTAGGTGAATAAGAACAATTTACGATTGGAATGCCCTTGTGAGATCAAACTTTGTTTTTCAGAATTGTATTTGAAAGTTAACGGCTCAGCTTGTGCAAAAATCTGTGTTATGTCTTCTCATGCTCACCTCGAGTGAAATATAACTAGAATGTAAGGTTTTTTTGTTAATCTTCAAAAATATTTCACATACAAAATAACCAGATAGTTCTGTCTGACTTCATGTAATCAGACAAAAACGTTGTCTTTTCATAAGCCTTATATTCTTCACTAAAAAGTTTTATGATACAGCCAGTCGAGGGAAGGGTAAAGCTTCTGCTTCAGTTCAGATCATGCCTGGCTAAGGTTCTGCATTCTTCCTAATGGCTTTCTGCATTGTAAAATTCTAAAGCAACATTTCTGCATAACTTATCTGACATGTTCAGGTGTGTTGTGGTTTAACCCAGCTGAGCACCACACAGCCTTTGGCTTACTCCCTCCCAGTGGTTATGAGGGAGAGAATTGGAAAAAGGTGAAATGGTTTGGTTGAGATGAAGACAGTCTTATAGGACAAAAAAGGAAGGAATGGTAATAATAAATAATAATAACATATGTATACACACACACACACGCAAAAAAAAAGTGAAGCACAGTGCAGATGTTCACTACCTTTTGATGGAACCCCAAAGAGTTCTCAGGCAGTGGCAGCTCCCTCAGCCAACCCCCTAGTTTTATTGTTCAGCATGACACAGTATGGTCGTGGGATCATGAGATATGTATTTCATGGGATATGTATCATGGGATATGCCTTTGGCCAGTTTGAATCAGCTGTTCTGGTTTCACTGCCTACCAGCTCCTTGTGTACACGCAGCCTCCTATCTGGCAGAGCTATGTGATATGCTGAAAAGTCTTTGACTTCGTGTTGCTCAACAACTAAAAGATTGCTGTGTTATCACCATTGTTTTTCTCCTAAATCCAAAACACAGCATTATACCAGCTACTGTGAAAAACATTAACTCTATCCCAGCCAAAAGTAGTTCAAAGTGGTGTGGGATATTTTCACGAGTGTTTTGTATAATAGCAACCTACTTGTTTGAAGACTGTACTTAGTTGTTTTCATTATGTGTACAAAAAGCAAGGATATGCAACAGCCTTGATTTCTTAAACATTGTGATTTTATACTACAAAATCACTAAGTCAGTGACAGGACAACAAGCCCTAGTGTTCACAGGAAAAAAGTTCAACGTCAATAGAACATCACCACTTACTTTCGGGGACCAGAGTTCTGCTGGAAAAAGAGCTGATTAGTTGTTGCTGAGAAGTACTTGGGTGAGCATATTTTTTCTTGTTTCCTGTAGTGTTTTTTTATAATTAGGGCCCGAACATAAACACCTTTTTCTGTTGTCTGCTTGAGGCTGAGGAAAGTGGCTGGCATTCAGCTCCTCAGAGATACAGATACGTGTGCTGCAAGGAGGCAGCTGCCTCCCGATGGCAGTTCCATCATTGTTGACATTGTTTTCTTGATGTAGCTTTTGCTTGGCTGCCTCTGGTTGCATGGCATGTGGCAAAATACATAGATATCACTAAATGATGACTGATTCTATGATTTGTCAGTTGCTAAGCTAAATCACCTGCCAAACATTGGTCAGATTGAGTTTTTTTCATTATACTTGTTGCTATACTGTAGCACACACATACACATGTATACAAAGAGATACAGGGCATCATCTCTGATTAAAAAAAAAACAACAATGCTCGATGTTAAGAGAGATGATAGCATTAGTGTTTATGCTAAGAATTAATGCATCATGCACTGTGCATAAATATTAGAATGTTTTGGTGAAGGGTTGCAGTGCGCACATCCACTAAGAGGCAGTTGTGCAGGTGTGCTATTATTGCTTTGTTTTCACAAAGTGTCATTCATATCACAATTTTTCTTGGGTTATTAAGTGCCATAGAAGAAATTTAGAGGTATTTACAGCAGTGTGAGGTGTGCAGTTTTTAAAGAGTGTTTGCTATTGATTTCTGGCTTTTAAAATCACAATGCCAGGGGGATATTTTGTTGTTTACAACTGTTTTTTGAGCTATTTAACTTCACCCCTAATGTGTTTCTTCACTGTGGTTGGAACTATAAATGTTTTCTTTTAAATTAAATCTAAGCTGCTCACATAATCATTAAAATACAAAAGCTGGAACTTCAAACGAACAAAAATGTCTTAATTAAATAGAGGATTTGGCAACTTGGCATTCAGCTCTTCTCATAATGCATGAGTGAGTTTCATGGTGAATGACTATGAATGATGAGCAGTCCTGGTGCTGAAGGGATAGGTTTTCTTTTCCTTATTCTCTTCCTCATAACTTCTTGTTTATGCCACCCTTTTCTGTATGTTCATACTTATTCATCTCTTCTTATCACCTGCTCTCCTTGTGCTGCTACTGTGATCTACTTTCTTCATACTCTTGTTCTGCAACGTTGGAACAAAATAATATGCTTGTTTTGCAGTTTGTGCAATTATGGTAGACACTTTTTTATTTAAGGATTTGAATGTTGTGGATTTCACAGAAATGTATGAAACTAGTGGAGGAAATGAGTTGTACATCAACAGAGGAAGGATGGGGAAAAAAATACTTTTCCATTTGCTTTTGAAAAAGATGTGTTGATCAAATATCAGGTTATCAGTTACTTTGATTGACCTACAAACACTTAGTTTTGAGCCAGATGACAACTGCTGAAGTTTTGGAGTTCAGAAAGAATTTGGGACCCTTTTTAGTGTCTAGAAGCAGGTGGAAATACATCTTTGTACTTGCAGTAGTCTACTGTGGTCTTTACTTCCATTTTCCATGAAAGCATATATATTCAGATGCTTAGAAACATTTTTTCCTTTAAAATTTAAGTTATTTTAATATGGTTTATTATGTTTCAGAGATAGAGAAAAGCAAAGCCTGGTTTCACTTAACCCTTCATTTGTGACCTGTAGGCTTAAGTGGAAAATAAGCCTTGTACCTAAAGTGAACTTTCCTGTTTTTCAGCTTCTTGTTTCTCCACAAAACAAAGAAATCAAGTGGGTAGAATTTAGAAATGACATACAGACAATGTTTTGGCTCCAATGCCAGTATTCAAAAACAAGAAGCCTGCTTAAGCAGCTTGACGTTGGTATTTCTTTTCTTTAGCTAAACTGTGTGCCTCCCCCAGAGATTTGTACCTGATTTTGACCATACCTGAAAAGACACTCAGACTGAACCTGCAAATCCTGATAAATAAGAACAGATTGTTAGCTTTCCTGCTCATTGTGTGACACCTCACAATAATTAGTTTACAATTAGCGGCTTAAGATTGCAAAAGAAGGCTTGGTATGAGATTTTTTTTAAAACCTTATTCTAGCCTTGTCTTTTTAAAAAGTTTTCAGCCATCACTTTAATGACTGGCATCAGCATTTAATCTACTGCAGATCCTTAAACCAGAGCTTTTGTGCTTTTTGCTAGAACTGCTGCAAGATTGTAACTACGCAGACATTTAAAACCCTAATGTAGATAAGGCTTTTGCATCTATTAAAATACATGGCTACCCAGAGCTGTAGCTTAACTCAGTTTCTGTGCGATGTGGGACTTTCTATAGAACAAGATTTTGTGTAATCAAGGAATTAGGGTTACTTTGAAAAGAAACCTATTTTGTTTCTTCTCTTCTTTTTTATGGTATTTAATTCGACATTTTCAGTATGTGCCAATGATTTTCTTATGTTTTTCTCCTAATTAAATTAACCTAGTAAATGACATTCTTTTGATATTACTTCGAAGAAATCCACATTCTCTTTTGTCTACCATTTTAAAACACCTTTGAGTTAAATGGCATGCAGATATTTTTACCAAAAGCCATTCTTTTCAGACTCAAATGTGTAAGGAGAAACTAGTATAAATAATTAAGTAACAAATTAAAACCGAAAGACTTTATTCACAGCCATTTCCTTAAAATTAACTGTATGCTGTGTCTGCTGCTGTATCATCCAGCTTTTCAAAATTGTGCCCCTTTTTATGAATGGAAGCTCCACATGGGTTTAATTGTAAAATGTTATATTATCAGTTGATAATTAAGATGTAGCTAGCAATCTTCATTTGCATGCTAGACCCTTAGTTCTGCATTTAACTCCTTCTGTTAACTAGAGAAAAGCATTCTGTGGCATGACTTCTGGTAGTGCTCAGGAAGAACAGAAATACTTGCTTGGTTTAAAAAGGGGATGAGGAGCTGTGAAGAAAGGCAGTGTTGTAGCTAGACTCAAAGATAGGCAGGAATGTGAGGTAGATGTAGCCTCAGGCTTATCTAGGGAGGGAAGGTCACCTGCCTTCCACCTTTCCTACTCCAGAAATAAAACAAGGGAAGACTTGTAGGGCAATAGTAAAATAAAAAGGCAGAATAATTTTGCTTATTTTTTCAAGTAGTTCCATTTTTAATTAGGAAACCAAATACTCTCTTTTTTTTTTT